AATACAAAAAAAATCACTGTGGCTTTGAAGTAAGTAGCCTTGGACACCATGGCCTCTATTGCCAAAAGAGGCATTGTACGCCGTTTCGATTCGATTATAGATCGATTTTGTCCCCTTTGGTGAAGTGACTCTTGGGCCGTGGGGTTCAAGTGAATAGGCGCTAATTAAAGATTTAAGTTGGCGCTTTCCTCGCTTAACGAAATAGTATGGCAATTCAGCGAATGCTGCCAGCGTTAAAGGTACACTGCCACAGGGACCAAACTTTTTAAATTTGTTTTAATTTTGATTTTTATTAATTTTTCATTATTATTATACATAGCGTTAGTACTATATATATTGGAATAATTAGGTTTTTTGTTATTAAGTGTTAAATAATTAAGTTAAAAAGTTAAAACGATATTATTTTCACACACTGAAGTAGATTTAGCCCCATTTTCCCATTGCAAGCATGAGTCGCCGATTTATGACAGCTGTCATCAGTACAATGATTACAACTTTATTATTTACAATTATTTGATAACTGCTATAAAATGTCTATGGAAATTTTAAAGACGCGTGACTGCTAGTTTTACATTCAAAAAATAATCTATTTTTGTGAGGACAGACAGTAGTTGTCAGAATTTATAATAAATAATTAAGTATCAATATAAAAAAAATATAAGTTCCAAGTAACTTTATATAGAAAATAGGGGCTCTCTAGAACTTTACGCTCTAGATTTATCAGATTTAATGTACTTATCTAAGTCGGCGTCACTGTTAGGATCAACTTGGGACAGCTGACGGAAGCTCTCATCATCAACGAAGCAAATCTCGTGATCATCAGGGTCCGCCAGGATAATGACTCTAACAGTGGCTTTCCCGGGGGTATCCAGGGAAATTAAGGGTGTTAAAATCTTGCCCTTCGCTTCTTGGATCTTTTGATCAATGATTGGCTGCTCCTCAAATGGGCAGGAGAACGCAATACGGCCGTATGCCTTCGCGTGGTCTACTGGGGTACCTGTATAATTATTGTGTTTATTAGTTTTAAGATGTACGATTATACTATGAGTCGGTGATGATGATGGTGAGGTGATAGAGTGACTAGCAGACTTTAAAACTGTATACTCCGATTTCAAAATGTAATCCCTAAAGTAAATCGTATTTAAAAAGAAAAATTTAATAAACTATTAAATATTCTTTAAGGGTCCCGATGTGAACTCTAAGGTCAGGTTGTAGAGTTTAAATCATCGTAGGTATAAAAAAGCTAATATTCAAAATGTCTTAGTACTCAGCGTGTCATATCACCATAATAGTATTATCTCTGGTACAATTCCAAGTGCAATGGCTGATTGTTTATCTATGTCTGTCTCGACTGTCAATTTATTAGTGCTATATATGTTGTTTTATATTATATTTTATTAGGATATGGTTTACTCATATTATTTATTCATAGAATTAAACTATACAGATAAATTAAGGTAACAAACAAACCTTATTACCAAAGCATAGACATTCATTTTTAATTCAACACCATTTTTGTACGTTGACATGACATTGACATTTTTGACTTTTTTAATAGAATATAACCAACAACGAAGTTTCTAAACTTGCTAATATAGACCCAACAAACAAACAATAATACGACACTTGACATTTTAGCAGTGTAACCTAGACTTGGATTGTCAATGGGAATAACATCTTAAGCAAAATCGGTATATCAGGACAAAAGGGGGAAAATGACGCATATCTGAAGACTAATATATTTATATATAATAGCTAATATATTTAAATTATTTTCCAAAAAAATCGGGAGTATTCTAGTTTTAATTTATCCAGGTGTACATTTTTGACATAACCCACACGTAGCACTTTCACCATTTAAGTATTATTGTTACTAATTTATTTTCCCACATCTTTCTATGTTTACAGTTATTATTAATGCGATAGAAGTATATAATAATACCTACACCTGGATAATATACCTAAATCTAATAATAGAACATTTATCATTCGCTCGAATGGTGAACGAAAACATCGCAAGGAAACCGGCTCGCCTTAGACGCAAAAAAGTCGACGGCGTTTGTAAAACACAGGAGGCTGATCACCTACTTGCCTATTAGATTAATGATCATTAGTATAAGATCCCGATATACAACGACCTTCACCGAGATGCTTATTTAATGAAACGTATTTTATATTTGTCAATAAATATAATCCATATATATGGGTTGATACCCGGCGCCGGCTAAAAACCGGGCCGTGTTGAAACCGTCTCGTGGGCATGAGCCCTGATAGTAGTTGACCCGGCAAACGTTGTTTTGCCATGTATATTATTTCTAGGAAACTTTTTTTTAGTTCAATAAAAATAACTATATACTATGATAAAAATAGAAGTTGATCGTAGACGGGTAAAAATTAGGGGTTTTATGTATGATGTATCATAAAATAATAAAAACAAAAAAAAATTGTCTAAAAAATAAAATAAAATTTTTTGGGGTGGACACCCCTCACCTTAAGGGTTTGAAAGATAGATAGTAGCCGATTCTCAGAATTACTGAATATTCATAGAAAATTTAACAATTATCCGTCGAGCCGTTTCGGAGTATGGAACGTATTTTATATTTTCAATTTTATATATAACAATATAATATTGATTGATCATGCAGAAGCTTAAGAGGTCGTTTGATAGACTAAATTTCTGCCGGAAGATTCAATAGTCATCCAAAATAAGCCTCACGTCGATCTTATCTGACATACTAAAAATTCAGTCAGTCGAATTTTCATATCATAAATATATCACGTGTTATACAAAAAATTTCCTCGTTTTGTTTGCTAATGAAATATAATTTTTATGTTGGCGATTCTTGCTACCCTGTGACCCCTTTATCATTGATTTTTGAAACATCATCGATTTGATGATATGACAAACGCGTAGACTAATGCAGCAACGTCCGCGTGGGTTTTGTCTAGATATACGATTTACGAACAGTGTTGGTCTGGTGGCTACAGCGTGCGCGACTCTCAACCTTGAGGTCGTAGGTTCGATAACTTGCTGTGCACCAATGGACTTTCGTTCTATGCGCGCATTTAACATTCGCTCGAACGGTGAAGGAAAACATCGTGAGGAAAACGGGTTGCCTTAGACCCAAAAAGTCAACGGCGTGTCAGGTACAGGGGGCTGATCACCGACTTGCCTATTAGATTGACAAATGATCATGAAACAGATACAGAAATCTGAGCCCCAGACCTAAAATAATAAAGCTGTAAACCTTTCAGGTTAGGTTAGGTTTTTTTTTCTAAGTGGTTTGTGTTTTGGGTGAGCTTATAAGCTAAACAAAAATGATACAAGAATCGCAATATGGTGAAAACCGTATAAAAATCCGTGCAGTCAGACGCGACCGGCGTGATACAATATAATGCCTAACTATAGGTTGTCATAACACGGTACGTACCATACACTCATGCACACGTGATTACTATCAATAGGAATCATAGGATATTCTAATGATAACAAATCTTATCACATCTTTCTTGATCACTAAATCATAATGTGATGTTCTTGTTTATTGTAATAACATATAAATTATGACTTTATTAGCATTGCATTAGGGAAAATTTTATTTAATTATCATCAAATTATTTTTTTATGAAACCTGCCTAAATATAGAATTGAACAGAAATATTAATAGAGTTTAAAAAAATTAAAGAATCATTTCATCAACTCACCAATATCAATCAATTCCAGTTTTGATTGATCGTCGCTGAAACCTAGAGTAGCAGATTTATCTGTTTTCTCAAAAATCTTCAATGTAAGTAAACCGTTCCAGTACGCTATTGATTTTGCTAAATTTGAACTTGCTAGTGATACTTTGACAACAGGATCTGAAATGAGGAAAAATTGTTTGAAAAACATTCAAAGGAAAACAAAATTTGCAGTATTTCACAAAATAATCCAGTGGTACTACAACCATATATAGGCCTTATACAAAGTAGATGATGTAAATGATCAGCCTTTGGTGCCTGACTCATGGTGTAGATTTGTAGGTTTTTAGAAATGACTTCCTCGCAATATTTGGCTTTACCATAGAAGCATTTGTCAATTGCACACTTAATCATACATACACAATGACAATAATTATGACAACATCTACTAATATTATGGTGCAATACATATTAATAAAATTATAAAAGTTTATCATAATTATGATTTTTTCATATAGAATTATATAAATATTATTTTACCATACTAATTTGAAAGAATACTTGACACTTTTCAGACCTTCAAATTAGTAAAATTGTCAACTCACCCTTGTCAACTGGCTGGGGCTTATCAATAATATAGAATTTGTAACCTCCAGGTGCTTCAACATACTTCAACCCATTTTGTTCCTTTACTGGCCAGTTTGTAGCTGCTGCCCTCTTTAGGCTTTCACTGGACTGAATTGTAATACCAATGAAATCATTTCCCATTTCATAATGTGTAATACCATAGTTATATGTGAGTTCAACTACAAAGTGGTTGTCTTCTGGACCATATCCCACCATAGTCTTACTCCATCTGTTTGCATATGGTCTGGAAGATTATAGATTATTAAAATTTATACTGTTAAGGATAGATACAAAAGTTAAATTCGATTAGCAGCCTATTATAAAAAAGTTATATTTTTTTATAATAGGAATTTCATTTAAAAATTACCCATTACATGCTGCCTCACATCCTTCAGAGAATTCTTCATGGCGAAGAACCTGAAATAAAGTAATAGAAGTTACTAGAATTATTAAAATTCAGACTTCCATGGTCGGGACCGGTCATAAGACCTTGAAAATAATTACACTGCGACAACTGCAGGCGTAGCAAATTACAAGGAATTTATAATTGTAAACCACACAACACAAAATAAGAAAAAAAATACACAATAAAACCACATTACCTTCATTCCCAGGACATCACGGTAAAATTTAGCAGTCAGTGTTCTATCGGCAACTTTGAAGACAAAATGTAATGCTCGTCCGGAAACCATTTTAAATATATGTATTTCTCACAAAACTTAAAGGAAAACACTTAACTCACTTATAACGTATATAATACACGATATCCAATTAAAAAATAAACATAAACCGCAACTAAAATTTTGCATACGAACCTTTTACCCTAACGAAAGATGACAGACTGATTCAATAAACCTTACGATAAGAAAACACGAACGATGTGACAGTTGTCATTTTAGTAATAATTGTAAACTACAAATTTTCCCGCTAATAGTTTTTTTTATCTCATCATCAAGTTATCCAGTTAAAAATATACAGCTTTACTGTTTAAATACTGAACTGTATCTACCCAAATTAAATAGGCTCATTATCTGAATCTAAGCCCCGTATTCAGGGAAACATTTGTTGAGCAACAAAGTTGAATCACGTGTTGCGGAGTTGCTGTCAACATGTTGCTGGCACACTGCGTGTTGAGAGTTGACAGCATCATGTTGACAAGCTCTCGCCCGACAGCGTAAACATCAGTTTAGCGACAATTGTTGACGTGTGTGGACGAGTTTGCAACAGTTTATAAACATGGCAGTAGTGTGGAGCAATGATAAAATAATGCAATTAATAGAATTATTTCAATCAAAACCATTATTATGGGATTGTTCTATAAAACAATACAAAGATAGAAACAAAAAGAACGATGCATTCGAAGAAATTTCTCAAGTCCTAAATATACCCAAAAAGACGTAGAAACTAAAATACATGTACTGGTACTCAATTTACTAGAGAGAAAAAAAAAGATGTCGGCAAAAAACTACAGGCAGCGGCGCAATAGAAAAATGTAAATGGATTTAAGCATTGGAATTTTTGTATGTGGTGCAACTACTTTGGTGAAACGGATACTATGAATAAAACAGTAAGTTGTTTTTGTATATAATTGTTTTATACTATTGTCTGTAAAATTATTACAATTAGTACATTATTTTGCCATGGAACTCTTCCCTTGGAGTTATAAAGTAATCGGCAAACTGTTCTCTAATACAAAGAGCTGATTGTGATGCAGGCCTGCCCTGTCTTTGCAAATCAATCATAGGAAACGAACTTATTCCCTTCGCCAAGAACCTTCTAATAGGTTACCTTCAGAGTCTTCAAAATCAAAAGTTTGTGGAGGTGTATATATGGATCTGGAAACTGAGTTAGTCTTAAGAAGTTATGTAAATATACACAAGCAATTACCACGAGTTCAAATTGGTGGTTTTAACGGAATAGGTTTAGTAATAACGGAACACCACACATAAAATGCCAAAAACATTTTCTATAATCCTCCTAGCTTTGATAGTTGTAATTGAATATACGTTTTGCCCACGTTCATGAATGCCAGGATATGGTTTCATGATGTTCTCGTTAGCGCGAAAGATGTCACCTACAATTACATACGGATTTGTCCGCTTGTTATGTCAGGCCGTGGAGTTTAAGTGAGTTTTCTAACAATGCATTATAAAACGTTTTCTTGAAATATCCACTGTCGACGACCGACCCTTAGCTCCATAATTTGCGAAATAAGTTGTAATTGCCACTGCAATTGCCATAAGTACCATGCTGAACTGATTTTTATAATTGTAGTATCACTTCCAGAATTATTTGGCGCCACAATCATAACGTTTTCCCATATGGCCCCAATGCAATGTGGAAAATTCCACGTATTCGAATTACGATTATTTGTTTCCATTTTGTTCCGAACTTGGAACCTAAAAAATAAATAAATATATAATAAGATAATAATTTACAGGTAGATGAAAACAATGCACTTGAAAGTGGTATGGAGTCAGAGCCATCTCAATCACCAAGGCCGAATGCTACAACATCTACATCTTCGAGGAAAAGAAATAAGACAGATGAATCAAATGAAATATTAGAGGTTTTGAAAAGTGCTAGAAAAAAAATATGGATGAAAGGGAGAAGAAGGATCATTTGATATATATGGTGAATATATTGCTGCTGAATTAAGAAGTGTTAAAGATGACCAAGCCGTGACACAGGCAAAGTACCATATTAATAATATACTGTATGAATTAAAATGGGACGATATAATACATATGGATATCAAACGGCATTTCTCATCCATCATCAACACCAAATATTTCAGGAAACTGAAATAAGGGAAATTGAGAGACAGAAACAAATAGACTAGACATTACGAGACGAAACAGAAGATTCGGCTATACTAAACTTAGTTAACTATCTCAGTGATGAATCAACGCAATAGCATACACTGTTTTTTTTTGTGTTTTTAATTAATAAAATACTTGATTACACAAATAGTGTTCTTGTACCTTGACATATCCTGCTAGTGAGTTAATTAGTTCTTGACATACATTGGTATAATTTTGCTAATCAATTGTTTTGATACTTTGAATGTGTAGAAAGAGAACTGTATGAATCTCCAGTTGCAAGATACCGTAATGTAATAGCCAGCCTGTTTGAGGTGAAACTGGCTGACGAATATTTGTTCCCTTTTGGTATTGATGGACCAATCATTTCTAGAAGATTTCGAAATCACTTTTCGACATTCTCGTAAGTTACAAAATGATCCATCTGTATTCTGAGGTCACTCATCAAATTTTCTCTTTGCAAAAGATAATTTCGAATCCACCATCTTTTTCTCTTTTTTTTTATTAGAGATTCTATACATCTGATACAGAGAACACAACAACACTACCTCCTCGGGCAACATTTTAACGCAGACTGGCGTGTGGACAACCTGTATTGATTTAAACATAGTTGCTAGCAACATCTGCCGCTCACCAACAATGTTTAGCAACTGTTGCTAAACAAATGTTTACCATGATACGGGGTATGATAAATCCACTTTGTGTTTATCATGACGAAGGCCATAGCATTCACAAAACATACTTAATTTTGTGCACGCTAGCTGCACGTGACATTCGATATTTTATCATTTATTATGACAGTAGTAAAGGTTTATTACATTCAATATACATTTTTTTCACTTTGGGAATTTGACTCCAATCTACTAATGCATATTGCTTCCTCAGGGTTTTTGACCTTCTATAATTTCCCCAACAACTAAATACAATTATTGTTTCGCGAAAACTCGAACACAGGGTTCCTGGGTTGGCACATGACGTATCACATACACGTAAACAACCCGCCTACAATGGCATTTCATTCACAACAGCTACAACTTCACTTTAAGAGCAATCAAGAGTTTGTCTCTACATAAAAGTTTTTAACGCAGACGGTTTTTAGCCCATAATTTACTCTTCAAGGGGTAGCAATAATAATTCTAAGGGCTTGACCTAAGGGACATGTTCCTTGTAAGTAGATATGCCTGTACCACTGTGAAATGCTATATATTCAATGCTATCCAATCTATTTGAGTTATACGTAAATGCACAGTGAGACGATTTACCATTCGGTCAGGTCCTCTTACTCACGAACCGGTAAATATGTACAATAATTTGCTGTCATAAATATTAGGCCGTTTTATGCTCAGTTAAATATTTAATTTATTTGGCTGCTGAACTTTAAGAAACACGCATTTTGCAAATTGCAACATGCAATTGTACCTAAGTGAATTATTTTGAATTTCGACCTTAGCCTCTACTCAGTCCACAGACGTAGACTAAGCTGAGTAGATTACTTTTTATTTCTGCGTTCTATGGATGCGTAAGGGACAGGATTATAAGGATACTTGAAGTAACATTATCCCTAAAACATTTTAATAAACAAAACAATGTTATCAATTGATTCACATAAAACTACATATAATTTCATACAGAAATACGATTAAATATATTTTCTCTTACATCTAAACTACATGGGTATGTTATATTTTTTTTTACATTTTCTTAAAATATGCAATCAATATTAAACCTCTATAGATATACACAGATCGTTAGACGAATTTATTTTTGCATAGTGTGTAAATATTTTTTCTGATTATTTATATCAGGTATTCAGTTATTTGGATATGATCGTGGAAAGATTTTAAATATATCGATTTCTACATAATAAATAACGGGTGAACGAAAATGTATATAACAATGCGACGGTTAAGTAGGATTTCAGTTGAAGTAAAAAAATATTTTAAAGCTATGTATTAAGCCACAATTTAGCAGGTCACACTAAAGATAACAGAGGTTTATTGGCCAATTCACTTGTATCCGGGTTATATCAATACATTTAAAAAGTTTAAATGTATGTTTCCAAAAAATCGAAAATATTTGGAATAAAGTGTCACTGGTCGTAATGCGGCTTAACACACAATAATATAGATTATAGCTATTGTAGCATAACAAAAAATAGTTATTGACTAGACCGCATCATAAGAGTTTAGTACCCACTTATCTAACATGTAAAATGGCTAAGTAAATTAATTAATTTAGTCCTTAGGCTTTTGGTCATATGAAAAATAATAACATGGTAGACACCCCAACAATTTACCGTGTAAAAATAGATTTTTCAAAATAAACTTTAGCAGAGTTAACTTGAAAAATAAATATTTGAGATAAAAGCAGATAATCTATAAAATTACTACATTTACGTATATGCGATACTATAAAAAGTATCAATAAAGTAATACACATAATAAAATGTCTGAGAATTTCGCGCTCAAATGTGTTTCGATATTTAAATGACTTTCAGTCTTGCCAACATGAAGAAACGAAAATTAGTGCCTTAATGTTGTCATAGCGAAATTCTCAACATTTTTAAATTTGTTTAAAAAGCGTTAAATCGGTGCGTAATATTTCAGTTGTGTTTTTCCTTTTCAGAGCCGTCTTTGTCTTTTTCTTTGTCCTTTTTCTCTTGTAGTTGTTGTAAATGCGCCGGCAGAGCTTTCAGGATTGCGTGGACCTTTGTAAAGTAAATTTTGGTTAACACTTATATATTTAATTTTCTTAATATCTGCCTAAGTATTAAGTTATAAATTATGTACATTACATTAGTAAGTATATATGATGGCTTTTCATTATTAAGTAACGTGAAGTTAAAAAAAGTTTTGTTACTTTTAACATCT